TAACCTAGTCAAGCACTTAACATAATACTTTTCTAATACTGAACGCTAGATGGGTCACTTGATTTGATTCCCGAAGCTCCAAATCCACTTCCGATGATCCAGAATGCTTTCAAGTTGTCTGTTGTAAAATCAAGTGCTAGTGAAAACTCTCCAGTTAATGACATTGGATTCAAGTGCTAGTCATGGTAATCACGTGGAGTCTGTAACAGCTGTAACGCAACAATTTGGTCAGTAACACCCATTGTTAGTCACGGTTTCGGGACGAATCGGGAACTATTAATTTAAATTGTGGGAGTTGGGGGCAAATACAAGTCGCGTGGATTTATCGGGCCGCGGCGGCAATTTGCGTGTGAATTTGGATACGATGCCGTATAACATTTTGAACAAAATGTGTAGATTTATGGCATGATATGAATAGGGAATAGTGACGTCAAATTGCCAATGGTTCAGAGCAGCTCACTTCAAACTTTACTGATGTCATCACGCATGCGCACACGCTGAATTCTTCGTTTGCAAAATTTCATTTTAATTCAAGTTGGATATGTTATATTTGGGCATTCGTTTCGCATTAATAATGTAATACTTGAATTATAATATTCTATAAACTACGCCATGGGTACGATGGTTCAAAGCAATGCACAAAACTAACAATGCACAATTCTCGCAGTTTACGTGAGAATAATAATCAACACATATTAAACAACCCACGTGATGTATTTATTTATCCATTCACGAAAAAGAAATCAATTCAAAAATGTGTGTGATGTTCACTATTAAGTCATGCGTATGTTCGCTTCCGGCAACGTTTCGCTTTCTAATACAGTATCTCCCAATGCTCTGATTGCAGCGAAGGTTTCTTCACCACTTGGAATGATTTCTTCTGCAGGTAAAATGAAACTATCCCCTCGCAGTTCAACTACGTGAGTCAGAACTATACCAGCTGAGCCGTAACCCCAATCTTCGCTGCCTCCAGACGTGAGATCTGTGTGGAAATGTAACATGTTTATAGCAGTTTATCAAGTCACTAACTTAAATCTGGCGATGATTATCCTGAACGAGTCTGGGACATAGAGCCAATTACGAGTTGGTGGGTTGGATGGTGTATTCAATTACCCCACAACGTTTTCCCTGGTGTGTAGGATTTCGTAGCTCATCGACCCCTGGTTCGATCCAATATAGTGGATAGGTACATGATTAGATTATGTATTCGGGCAATAGATTCACTTGGTCCAGAAACCTACAAATGCTCTTTCCAAAACGTATCATGGTCCAGCAACTATTTCTGCTACAGCGTTTTTTTTCAAGTAACGCTACCAAGCATTCCGCCATGTGGTCACATAATTGTTATAAAATCAACTCAAATTATCATTTTAGTAATTACTCACACATTGTAGCAGATTGTCCGTATACATATTCTGTACCATGTACAGCCGTCAAGGCCTCAACGCAGCGTTTGTTCGAAGTATTCTGAAAATGGGAAAAGACATGTGTATCGTACGACATGTATATGAGTAATTAAATTTTACGTACCTCAAAATGAGATTCTCAAGTTAGAAATGCAAATAAAAATGGTACCAAAAATGGTAGAAGAGGATGCATATCAGTTGCACCTCGTAACTGGACCAATTGTAATAGTGAAATTTTAAATAAATAATAAAATGTAACTGAAATCTCGAGAATGGCTAACCCCTTCTGAGCCGAAACACAACATGTAATTAGCATACTAGTACATTTCAAAATAAACATCGCGTGTACGCGTCTGGTGCGGTAGCACTGGTCAATAAATTGAAATATTTAAAGTATTTTTATGTAATACCAGAACAAATAATTCATTTAATTGCTACACTTATTATGTATTCTCTCAACTTTGAACAATTGGGACCCCAATAAATCAACTGCATAAGTGCCACCATAGACCTTAGAAAAGAGACGTCTATAGAGCCACATAGATTGTCATAGAATAATGGTCTGTCAAAGATGTTAACTAGTGGCGGTTTCTCTCTCCACTTCTCTGTGGGTCGTGGGATGAGTTATTTTGACAAGGTACGGCAATTAGTCTGTCACGTGATGCTTATGAAAAACAAATAATAAGCTAGTATGGTCAAATGTGTTTTCATGTATATTAAAGTTTTCTAACAATATATGGTGAGAATGAAGGTTGGATGAAATAACAGACATTGAATTCTTCATTCAAAAATGTCATAACACTCTTCCTGCTACTTTAGTGTAAATAACGTACAATTAGGATCCCAGAACAGGAAACCACATATCCATGGTTTGATGCAACATAATTAGATTGCCTCACAAACCAATTAAAGTTGTTTATAGTTGTTTGATAGCTACAAACTATATTATAAAATTTGTTATATACCGGGTACTTGTTAAATGTTAATTGTTTTACCTGATACTCAAGGTGCTCTGTTGAGTCAAATGTGTAGCCCCATGGACACATCCATATCTGTCCGTACGAGTGGAAGTCGACGAAGGCTTTGAAGCTTGGATCTTGCAGAATAAACTTGGTAACAGAGTCTATTTCAATCTCCGAGTGTGGATGACTACCCCTGTACGTACTCGCACATGGAATGCCAGATGATCCCTCGCCAAAAAGGTTGAAATAAAATGAAATAAACTTTGTTACGTATACAAAAAACATGACATTGAAACAGAGACGGTGTTCGAGTTAGACGCGTTTCAGATTTGAACTTTCTCCACAGTTACGGGGAGCAAGCTGACTATAGTCTTTCTATAGAGGAAACATTATTTTTGATTTGATAACCATCTCGAATTGAATACTATAATTTTATTGGAACTATAAGGCATAGTTGTATAACACACCGCATTGACCAACGTTATACATTCTTCAAGCTTACCTCCCCACATGTAGTCGAAATTCCTGTTCCCATCTGTGCCGATGCACGTGGAACCATCATTGGGTGATCGAGTTTTACGCCACATACGATCCTAAAATTAAAAGCAATGTTGTGTATACATGTTTTAAATATCGAAATCAAATAACACTTTTACTGATTCTACTAGCTCATTCAACAGTAATTGAATGACAGACGAATATTCTGAGTGACGTCGCATAACTTAAAAAATGCACCTCGCAACAGTGCCCTCTCGACATTTTATATATACTCTCCGAACAACACAATTAAGTTTGTTTTTTTGTAAGATATTTGGCAAGGCCGGCCACAGTGAGACGTGATAGTGCCAGCATTTTGGGATTCGTGGGAAAATGTATATAATATGTCAAGGCGTACCAGTACAGACATTGTATTCCATACATCTTGGCAGTTTTGTGTAATAAATCATTTTCTATACTTCCATAATATGTAAAAAAAAATCCCAACAATCTGTTTGATGCCAGCTGATTGCCCCTTTGAAACCATAGCTGACAACCACAAAATACGGCATTATCTCAAGATGTTATTTGATTTAGATAATATTTCTTCAATCATTAATAAGATTATATTAAATTGAATATTTCTGTTTGTTTCAGATGCTGGCGTTATCGAAACGCATATACGTGAGACTTTATTTCAAATTTCCCCAACCCCAACCCGCGCACAATTGTATCATCCATGGCTAGTCATTTGTCATAGAATTTATTTGAATTGACTCAAAAATTACAAAATTATGTTTGCCAAAGCATTCTCGAAAACGTAAAAATAGTGTTGGCTTCAAAAATAACAATATTTCTTAATTGAAATAAAGAAAACTGAAATCGATTATGCAAATACGCAAGAACGCTCTACGATGTTTTTAATACGCCATCACAAACTACAATCAGTGTATTAGCTGCGAAACAGATACATGGGGGGATGAACAGGATTCGTGACCCCATAATATCAGATTTAATATACTCTAGTAGTAATTTCTATTTGTTCCGAGCCCTGTTTAATGAATAGTAAATTGTAGAGACACTC